CAACTTGTTGGAGGAAGAAAATGGCCGTGCTGCGAGACTGAATAGTTATATATATATATATATACATACGTCAAAAGCTGCGGAAGTCATTCCGATGTACAGGATTGGGAACCACCACTGCTAGTACAGTGATCCTATAATGATAGGTTTATTTGTGGTCCACCTTCGTAGGCCAGTTGGACACTCGTGCAGCCCTGTGAACAGCGGTGCTTCAACACCGACCAAATCATCAGTACCCCCACACTATGAGCTCATCACTGGCAACAGGGCTGGGGTTTGAATCATCCACCCAATAGTTTCAATGAGGGTTGAATACGGGCAAGTTCCACCAAACGAACTCCAGAAGTAGCTGTTGCAAGTTTGCAATGTTTTTGTGCATGTTGGCTCTTGTGCTATTTGTGGCGTTTTTGGGAGTATTGCCCAGCTTTTGAAGGAGACGGAGGAGGAGCAGAGCGATCGCATCGAGGAGTCGTGCGAGTTCTTGCTCCGGCTCTTGGAGTGGCATCCTGAGCCACAGCGGGCACGAGGAAATAGTTAAGGTCAGCAGAACTCCCCACTTACCGGGAACTATTGTCACAGGTCACTATGGTTGTCAAACATGATGATGCTGGATTGTTGTTTACTCCAACTATATAACTTTGCAAAAGTTATCCTTGCTATTCTCTAGGTTTTGCCCTTCAGCAGAGAAGAGGCAAGCTGTGCTAGAGACCTGGCTGCGAAACAATCCCCACGACAAGCGTGGTCCGACTCCAAGTTTGAAGTCTACCCCGTGGCCACAAAGTCAACACTCCTGTTCGATGCTCAGCGTGGTTCGATTGGAGACCAGGCAAGAAAACATTCTCCCCTGCAACTTCAACAGACTTCTTGGAGCTTCGTCCAGCCCTTGAAAGCTTGATGTTCGTGATATGTTGTGACCCCAAAAGGATTTTCAGAGACTGGACCCCTTTAGCAGTTGGCCGCTCAGGTCGGATACAGAGACTGAACTCCAATGTGATGACTCCAGCAGTCTCAATGCGTGCTGAGGCTCTCAGTTTGTGCGTTCTGGGCGGGGAAGAGTCGGGGAAGTGCTTGTGTCAGGAAAAGTCGGGGAAGCCGAAGTGCTTTGGTCGCGGTGAGCCAGGAGCTTGCAGTTTCAGTGATCGGATACTGCGGGATTCTATTGTGTTTTTCGATGGACACTGCGGAATACGGTATATAGATGTCGCAAACTAGTGAAACTTGCAAGGAGATCACCTTTACACTGTCTATGAGTTCGCTCCAGTGCAAGAGGCTGTTATGCTGATTCTTCAATACTCTTCCTTTGGAGGATGGCTGTCAAGAGTCCGAACGATTATATAGGGCAGACGAGTGTGTCAGGATGACGAGCTTCAAAACTCCACGGTGCAAACTCTTTACTTTGACTGGCCCGGTACACTTTTTGAACCAGCACCGATCGTTTCTTCCTCAAAAGGATGAGAGGCTTATGTGTCGGTTTGTACTGGCACGTATTTGCCCTGTGGTTCGCTAGCTTAAAGGCTTTCTGTTGTTGTTGGGCAAGTTGCCAACTCGTTGGAGTTTGCGAGGCCTTTCGATCTCACGACCAGCAATGCCCTGGAAGCATTGATGCGAAGTGCTTGGCCAAGGTGCTAAGAGTCTTGAACTCAGTTATGCTGAAGGATTTCATGTGGGTCTGGCAGACAGCGGTCTTCCACTACAGGTCGGAGGTCTCACAGATGATGAGATTGCGAAACTGCTTCAGGCCATTGAGTATCGTTGCGTTGAACATTCGTATCAGAACTTGCATGTTTGCCTTACACCCAGGGCTGCGGCTACGCTGCGATTCGAATTGTTTTTTGTCCACATTCTGTAGTTCCAACATCAGAAGCTATGGAATGGCAAAGATCAAGCTGCAAGTAGCAGGTGTGAGAAAGGGCCTTGCTGACTGACACAGCCAGCCCGCTTAGACAGCCCTGATTCACATCAGTTGCGAGTGGCTTCGCGACAACCGCCCACTGCGCAGCATCTTAGATTATATACTTTGATTGAAACAGCACTTGCTAGGTACCTGACAAGAATCTCTCCCAAGTCTGCATTTTAACAGAAACTCTTCACATGCAGACATTTCCCCTGTCCATGCACCATGAAATCTGTTGTTGTGCACTGTGGCATTGGTTGACCGCTCACCAAATGCAGATATTTCAAGAGTAAACCGACAGCATAACTTGCATCAGCAAAGCACCAAGACAGCCCATGTTGAGCTTTTGTGTCGAGGTCTTTCACATTCTATATAGAGCAAATTATTTCCCCAGCTGAAGCCAGCGGTGTTGACACCAGCTATACTGACTGTGGTAGTGAGTGTGATACCGATAATATTGTGTGTCACAGACCCGAAGTTTATCTAGCACTGCTTGGTCCAACGAATCGATTGAGACGTTAATACCTCCAGGTGCAGAGTGTGGCACGCGCGTTGCAAACAGCAGCGACTACCTTTTTCACATCCAAAGTTATGGTAAGCAACACACTCTATGTAGAGATGTAATGTTTTCGCAACGAGGATTTCACCATTTCCGGTCTAGAGATAAGCTTCACATCACCCTTTATGTTAATTTGTCATCATCTTCCGTACCATTGTTATCACTTTGCCAACATTGCCTTGGGTTTTTTATATATATATATATATATCATGCAAAGTTGTCGTTGTTGGAATGTTGTCATCAAGCACCAAGCCGCCAGGGGGCCGGTGTCTCCACTGACCAGCTGGTGGATTACGAGGTGGGCATCTCAGAATGAGGGCTGGGAACACCTTGTTGAATCCAAAGGAGTTTCAAAAGAGGCCAGTTCAATCCGCTTCCCTTCGCAGGCTTTTCTTCAATGGATGTTCAAATCTTGAAGGTGCTGGCCCCAGTGTAGTGTCTTTGAGTCTTGAGTTTCTAGGGCCAGTCGGCCAGTCTCATTGATATAATGAAATGTAGCTTACTATCGGTCAAGCTGTATGCATCAAGTGCTGTGATTTTTCAAGATCACAAACAGTTGGCACACAATTTGAATTCTTGAGTGCTCTTGAAGGATGCTTCAGTCATTTTGCTGTATTCAGGTGCGAGTTGGAGAAAGAACTTGGTGAAACCAGTTTCTGACCGTGGAGGGAGTGTGCACCCCTCAAGGGGATGCATGCGGGACTGGGTTTGTCCTATGCCGTTTCAGGTGTATTGTTTTAGGTGAATGGAAGTGGCCTTCGAGAATGGATTGTGTTTTTTTGATTTGATCAAACCCAGTTGTCGACAGGCTCTAGCTGCTTCTGCCAAAGACTTCAACACTCTAGTTTTGACAATCTAATTAGCAAGTAAGTTGGGAATGGCCATGCCAAACCTGCAAACATCAATGTGGACAGCAAAGACAAATTGCCGGCAACTTTGTGGCAGCGCAGCGGAAAGTCGGGCCGCCCTAGCAGCTCCTGTTCTTTCCACGCTCATGAAAAAGACCTTTGCTGCTTACTTGGTTCATGAAGAACATTGCAGGCCCCAAGGACTCTGTTACACGCGGTCCAACCAAGGACATACATTCCGAGATTTAAAGAAGACAAGCACCACAAGGGACTAGTAGAAGCTGCATTGGCTCACCTAACCTAATCTGCAGTTGAATTTTGCTTCCTGCGGGAGTGACAAATCTTTGGGAGGATCAAGGGAGAAACTAGTTACTAGTGATGTCTGATGCCCTCTAAGCAAAATGATAATGAAGACGGCTTCAAAAGAGGTATGCTGTGGGAGAAAAGCGAGATGCAGTTGTTTCTGAGAATTTGTTGTTTTTGTGTTCTTGTGTGCATGCGTTTTTGACTGTCAGCTGAAGGAAAGCAAGATTGTCGAGCGACAATCATACGGTCTTTCGCTAGACAAGTAGGTTCTTTGCCTCTTTGCATATCAATGGATGGAAAGAGTAAGAACACCACATCCAGTGCGCATGTGGGAAAGCAAATGAACCGACTTTGGCTGCCACCAAGCTGATACTTTTCAGTTGGGATCCTCTGGCTGACTCTGCTGATCTTTGCGATGACTGGATATCCACTGCATGCACCAGAAGTGGGTGTCCCAACATTCTGACTGGACGACGCTTGCGATGCCTGGTTTCAGGCATGAACAACAGTCACGAACCTTTTGGAAGGCAGGAGCGCCAACTTGCAGGCTTTACCAACAAGGGAGGCATTAGACTTCACAGCATGGGCCCCCGTGATACCGGGTTCTTCAAAAAAAA